GTGTGTGTGTGTGTGTGTGTGTGTGTGTGTGTGTGTGTGTGTGTGTGTGTGTGTGTGTGTGTGTGTGTGTGTGAACATTTTTCTGTACAAGCGCAACCATTGGTTGCATGCACTCTGATCGGCACTACTGTAGGCCTGTGTGCCCCCCCCCCCCGCCCGTTTTCCGTAACTCACCCCGTCTCCTATACACAGGGGTTTCTCTGGGTGTCAAAAACTCGCAAGTCTCTTGGCTATGACCGCATCTCGCCCTTGCAGTACCCAAGAATCAAGACAGCGACCGCCCACGTGACGTAAGCTCATGCGTGCGTGCGTGCGTGTGTGCGTGCGTGTGTGTGTGCGTGCGTGTGTGTGTGTGTGCGTGCGTGCATGTGCGTGCTTGCGACTTGTGTTGTGGGGAATGAGTAGTGCGTGGCCGTTCGCCTGTGAGTGGGCGTACAATCCCGGTTGCATGTTATGTGCCGCCAGACTGTTGGTGTGCGCGTCTCCTCCTCCCGCTCCACCCACTCCCACAACCACCATCATCACCACGTTCACCGCGCTCACTGCAGAGACGAGGAAGACATGATCCAAGCCTTTGATGAGCTCTCCCTGGGCACTAGCTCCTCTGGCAGCACCGCAAGTGACGGGGCGGTTGGCGCCTCGCGAAACACAGCAGCAGACGATGCACCTGCGTCAACGCTGAGGCAGAGGCGTAAGGGCGGAAGCAAGAACCCAGCTCCCAGCGACGGCGGCAGTGTGAAGAGCAGCAAGAGTCAGCCAGGGAAGAAGGCGGAGGTGAAGCAGAGAGGCGACAGTGAGGTGGAGCGGAAGAAGCGCGAGAAAGTGGTCAAGGAGAGAGACAGCGATGAGGAAGGCGAGGATGGTGACAAGGGCGCCAAGCAGCCAGCGAGCAGCCAGCGTGGCGTCAACAGCGACCACCACGATGCCATCAAGGCTGAGATTGCTCAACGGAGGAAAGCAGATCCGCTTCGATGGTTCGCTGGTCTCCCGCCACCGGCACTTCGCTCCTCCCAGCGCCACTTCAAGCAAAGTGCGCTCCAGAACGCGTCTGAGCATGTGTGTGTGCGTGTGTTTTTGTGTGTGTGTATGTTGTGTGTGTATGTTGTGTGTGTGTGTGTGTGTGTGTGTGTGTGTGTGTGTGTGTGTGTGTAGGTTGTGTGCGTGCGTGCTTGTATGTGTGTGTGTGTGTGCGCGCGCGCGCACGTGTGTGTGTTTGTTGTTTATTCGTGCGTGTGTGCATGTGTGTATGTTGTGTGTCTGTGTGTTGTGTTGGTGCAATCCACGTTTGTGTGATGGCTGTGCACGCACTAGCTTGTTGAACTGTCGCCGCTTTCCAATCCCTCCCCCCCCCCCACGTGGCACACGCTCTTCCCCTCACTTACACACACGGTCGCAAACCTCTGCAGGCGTTGATGCTGTTGTTGAGTTGGCGCGCATCAAGACAGAGATGGATGCAGTTGCACGCGCGTATCGCCAGCTGCAGCTCTCGCAGATCAGGGCGTAGCTCTAGGCGCCTTCAACACTCACTCACCAATACACACACACGCATTGTCTCGCTCTTAACACACACACACCACAACACAACACAACACAACACACACTCACGCCAACACAACACAACCACGACACAAAAACACGGCACACGAAACAAAAGCCCACAATGCACGGTATTCCGTCTTTGCGTCTTCTTTCGCACTTGTTACATTCTTCCCTGACCTGATGCTCAACCATACGTGTTGTTGCCCTGCTTGTCCTCCTCCTCGCCCTGTCTCGCTTTCCTCTCTCTGTTGTGATTCCGTTTGATATTCGTTGGGCGCCTCTGTTGGGGTTTATTGTGCTGATGCAAGCTGTATTAGCTTCCTCCCTTCCCCTCCATCACATTGCTCATCATCATCATTGTCACCACCATCATCATCATCATCATCACCATCGTTGTCAGCACGAGAGGAAAGAGTCAAAGTGTAAAATGTGTAAACATTCAAGTTGAAGCATTCAAGTTGAAGCGCACTGTAATTGACCGGACGGCGGGCGGGGGTGTAGTGATGATGATACGCACGACAGACGACACACAAGAACTGAAACGCCTTTGAATTGAGTTGCAGCGCAATACACACGCTTGAAGAGGAGTGCAAGCACGCACCGAAAGCGTGCGAACACACACACACACACACAAGCACACACACAAGCACACACACAAACAAACAAACAAACAAACAAACACAAACTAACAAACAAACACGCAAGCACATTGTACAACATTATCCCTGTGCATTAGGGTGCAGTGAGGTCGTCATTGAAGTAGACCTGAATCTCCGGTACAAACTCGTATTGGTCAATGGACAGCTTGTAGAATTCCTCACTCAACTCCTCAATGCCGTTCTCCCCAAGCGTCTTTCCCATGTCCAGCACGTTGCCAAGGTGCTTCCACGTGTAGCTCTGCGAGTGCGAGTTGTACTCCAGGTACCGTGATTCAATCTGCTGCAGCGTCTCCTCGTTGCACACCTGCGCAACGCGATGATGGCAATGGCAGTGAGCGTGCCATGTGCTGCAACAAATGTCTCGACAGAGCACTGGAGGGTACAAAAAGAGGGTACAAAACGTCCACGACACACACGCACACGCGGGCACACATGCACACAAGCACACTCACCAATACATGTGCACAAGCAATACACTCACAAATACACAACGCACAAGTCACACGCAAGTCGCACATGCACATGAACAAGCTGCGCACCTCGATGGTCTGACTTTGTGACGAGAGCATGTTGGTGACTTTGATAAGGCGTGTCCGCTTTGAAAGGCGTCCAATGCGCCTGCTCGTGTCCTTCCACCATGGAATGCCAAAGTCTGTCGCCCACGACGTTGTGGGGCATGGTGGCGGCACATGTACGAACCGCCCGTGTGGCGTGTACGGGAGCTCCAGACCCGTCACAGGGTCCACAAACTTTCTCAACTGCAACGTTGAGTTTGGAGTGACGCAAAAGGTGAGGACACACGTTGGTGAGGACACACGTTGATAAGGAGAAATGACCCATCAGAGAGAGAACACTCAATTCAAGTGCGCGAAAATACAAACAATCGCGAAGCACCCTTGCATACACACGCTCTCTCTCTCTCTCTCTCTCTCTCTCTCTCTCTCTCTCTCTCTCTCTCTCTCTCTCTCTCTCTCTCGCACCCGTCATCCTTTCTTCTTCTTCTTCTTCTTCTTCTTCTTCTTCTTCTTCTTCTTCTTTGTCCTCCCACCCTCACTCACACACTCTCCCTTTAACTCTCACACATACCGCTCTCTCTCTCTCTCCCTCACATACACACTCCCTCCCCCTCACGCACACACACATACACACACACAGGCCGGCTTACGTCTTGTGTTGTCTCGTCGAACCAGTGTGAAATGTCTGTGCCTGCAACCGCCACGATTGGCTGCAGCAGAGGTGAACCAACATGCTCCTTCGCCAGCGGCGTCAAGTCATACACATACCCAAGGAAGGACACCCACAAGTCCTCCGCGCAGTTGTGAGCTGCCACCTCACTCGGCGTAAAGTACCGCGTGCCGCCCTTGCCCGCACTGCTCATGATCGCGACGTTCCCTGGCTCTCTCCTTCTGTCTCTCAGTCCGTCTCGTGTATGTGTGTGGCGGTGTGTGGTGTGCGCTGTCTGTTGCTGTTGTGTTGTTTCCAAGCTTGAAAATTATGGACTGCACCGCAATTCTTCACAACTTCACCCATCGTCGAGAGATTCGTGACAAACAGCAGAAGCAGCCAACGCAGCAGCAGAACCTCAACAACCCAGACACAGCGAAGCAAGCAAGCAAGAAGCAAGCAAGCCATGATGAGCGACACGGACGCTGGCGCAGAGGAGGCAACAGGAACAGCAACAGCACCCATCACCAGCGCTGCGACGGTGGTGAACGTGCTGCTCGTTGACTTCCACCACAAGTTTGGTCCTGTCGTGGAGTACTCCATCAACCCAATTGCAGGCGAAACGGCAAGGGATGGCAAAGTGAAGGTGAGAGCTTGTTCTTGTGTGTGTATGCGTGTGTGTTCTTGTGGTTGTGGTTGTGTGTGTGTGTTTGTGTGTGTGTGTGTGTGTATGCGTGTGTTTTTGTTGTTCTTGTGTGAGCGGGTGAGTGAGTGTTCTTGCGTTTGTGTGTGTGTGTGTGTCTGTGGTTGTGTGTCTTTGCGTGTCTGTGTGTGTGCTTGTGTAAGTGGGCGAGTGAGTGGTTGCGTTTGGTTCAGCCTCCTCCGGGAGACCTGCTGCCTACTTGAACATCTGCGACAGCATACGCATGCTCACGCTTTGCTCACACACACACACACACTCACTCACTCACTCACTCACTCACTCGCTCACTCACTCACTCACTCTCACGTTCCCCCCCCCCCGGCCTCGCCTCAAAATGCACAGTTGCCAGACGAATGGAAGCATCTGCCCTTTCTCGCACTCCCTGATGGTTTGCACAACCACGAGGAAGACGTCACTTACTTCACGCTCCCAGGTAAGACCACAGCTGCAGTCCCGTGCCAAACAGTGCTCGGCAGTACCCTTTGTCTGTGAACATTGCTGTGCGCACGTGCTTTGCTCTCACCTTTCTCACCTCCCCGTGTATTGCTTCTTACTTTGGGGTGTTCTGGTAGCTCTTTGTGAGGCCAGCGGTGATGACGGTGTCAAGGGCGACGATACAAATGCTGATGCCCCTGGTGAGCTGCTGCAGCAACAGCAACGGCCTCGCGTGTATGGTGTTGCAGTCTCCCGGCAGATACAAACGCAAGACCTGCAAACATCTGACGCTCATGTGACGCGAAACACCGTGCTCAAGGCCATATGCGTCATCTCCACAACGCCCGCATTCACCACCATCACAAACGCCCTCAGGTGTCGCCTCTGCCACGTGTGTTTGTGTTTGTTTTTGTGATTGTGTGCGTGTGTGTGTATGTGCATGTGTGTTTGTGATTGTGTGCGTGTATGGTTTAGTGTTACGCTGCATGCGCGATGCAGAGCGAGTGATATTGCGTGTACGCACCTGCGTGCCATATGCTGTGGCTCACATCCTCCCCCTTCCCCCCTCGCCAACACAAACCAAAACAAAAAAACCACTTAGGCCGTGCACGTCGGTTCTGTTTGATCAGCGTGACTTTACGAACAAGGCCATCCTTCACGACCTCGAAGCCAGCCTCAACAGGTGTGCGCGCGTGTGTCTGCCTGCGTCTTTGTGTCTGTGTGTACGTCGACCTTGCGTGCGCGCGTGCCTGCCTGCCTGCCCGCCTGCGTTTTCGTGTGCCTGCGTGCTGGCTTGCTTGCGTGTATATACAACACATGGGTGTGGATTGCCCCAAACCAATCCGCTCACTGCTGTCAACGACGTGGCCTGCCTCGCTCAGGTCCCTCGCAAGCTCAACCATCGCCGACATTGTCGCAACACAAGGTGCACTGTACACGCGTATACGCATCGTTGCAGTTGAGCTCCGCTGTTCTGTCACGCGTGTATCTGTCTTGTTGCGTGTGTTCGCTGCCAAGCTTTGTTCATTTCGCATTGACATCTCCACACGCCTGCGTGCTCACATTCACGTCTGCGTGCACATGAACGTCGCTTCTCGGTGCATTGCAGACTTTGGGCTGACGGAGTGGCTGTATCGGCTGCGCTACGTGCTGATGCAAGTGTACAAGCTCATGCTGCTGCAGAAGAAGGTGAGGTGTGCAGAAGAACGCTGGCAAGCAGTGGTGGCATCGGTTGCTGACGCCTTGAGTGACAGCACGAAAACGAGGGGCCAAGCGCAGCCCCCCTCCACAACACCTCTCGTTCTCCCTGCTGACATGAGCACTCTTGCGTCTTATATCACACACACACACACACACACACACACACACACACACACACACACACACACACACACACACACACACACACACACACCACCACCACCACCATCCTCAGATCCTGGTGTGCGACACCTCTGGAGCAACGCCGGCGTCGTCGTTGTCGCGTCTTGCGCTCGCGCTCGCATCACTACTGCCCGGTGCTCTTGACGGTGCAACGACGCAGACGACAACAGCATCGAGGGCTGCGAAGGCGAAGAACCAAGGCGACAATGGCAGTCACGCACCGCCGATGCAAGCACCCTCCTCCTCCTCCTCCTCCTCGTCGTCGTCGTCGACGACGCGATCACAGCTGTCTGATGAAATGACGGCACTGCTTGAGGCGAGCATTGCTGCATTTACACATCAGCAGGAGCAGGTCTGGCTGGAGACGGGCGAGATGCAGCGAACAATGCAGTCACCATCGTCAACACCATCATCATCAACACCATCACAACAGCAGCACGGGCGCCAAGGGGGGCAGGTTGTTCAGGCGGCAGAGGGCAGTGATGATCGCAGTGGCGATGATGAAGATGATGTGCTGTCGTCGTTTTCATCGCGCGTGCGCCGCATGAACGTGCGACTGCTGTGTCCATATCCTGGCCTGCTTCGTCTCTTCCCACACGCCTGCCTCCAACAAGCAGGTGACAACGCACAGTACCACTCTTGTGTGTGTGTGATTGTGTGTCTGTGTGTGTCTGTGTGATTGTGTGTCTGTGTGTGTCTGTGTGTGTGATTGTGTGTGTGTGCGTGCGTGATTATGTGACATGACGTTAGTTTGCGATGCCGCGTCGCCTTTACATCCAGTGTGCTCTTCAAGCACCCAAAATCATCATCTCACCTTTCTTACTGCCTTAACCGTCTGCAACCCCTTCCCTTCCCCATTTTCATCACACACCATCACACACAATCGCGCGTCACCCCTCCCCCTCTCACTTCTCCTCCTAACCCAAGACGAGTTGCGAGGGTCGCACTTCCTGGCGTGCCCGACGAACATGATGATGGTGCGGTCCGACTTCCTCCACCCCGATGTTGTCCTTGACCTCAGCAAGAAGCCAACGCTCAAGTCCGTGCCCGCTTGCTTTCCCTCCGTGTGTTTGCGTGTGCGTGTGTATGTGTGTCTATGTGTGTCTATGTGTGTGTCTATGTGTGTGTGTGTGTGTGTGTGTGTGTGCTTTCATGTTGTGTCTGTATGTCTGTGTGTGGGTGTGTGCGTGTCTGTGTGCCTGCGTGTGCCTTGTTGTCACATTCTGTCAAATCACTGCTGTGAACGTGTTGCCCCTCGTCCATGTGCGCTTCGCGTCGTGTCTGCTGCCAGGTTCATGGAGCCAGGCTTGAAGGCAAAAGCGTCACTCTCAACACCCGATCTCAGGTCAATCATCAGACTTTTGTCCATGTGGAAACGTTGTCTTCTTGGTTCGAGGGTAGGGAATGTGCTGTCTACGTTCAATTTCCATTTTCGACACTTTGTAGCGCTTGCTTGTTTTGTATTGCAATCTGCATCTTCCTGGCACCATGGCTGACTGGTCGCGCGGGTTGTACGTGCATGCATGCAAATTTGCTCGTCCAGATTCATTGACCAGCTTGTCTCGTCCGTTCGCAAGCGCGAAGTGGGGAGCAGCGTAAGTCGTGTTCGCGGCGGTGTTAGCGGTGTCATCTGCAGCATCTGGAACAACGTCCCTGTCCAGTTCTCTCCAACCAATCAGCCCAAGCAGCACGCACACTCAGAACACCCACGCACACGCACGCACATCGAACACACGAGTAACGTGAAGCAGACTTGTCCTCGTAACACTCACACGCAACGACACGCACACACACACACACACGCAACGACACGCACACACACACACACGACACACACACACACACACACACACACACACACACACACACGACACACACACACACACACACA